GGAGGATCATAAGCATAGACTCTATACACCCACCTAATTTCTCAGGCAGGTTTTGTAAGCAGAATCAAACTCCGTCTTAGTACCTGAGTGAGCTTCGGGTAGGACTGAGAACAGAAGTCTTCTATCCAAAGTCTTGTGCCTTAAGCATAAGATCTTCCTTCCCCAAAATAAAAATGGTATCTTCCTGCATCCCTCGGGGTTTTTTGAGAGGAAAGCCTCAGCTGTGTGATAGACAAGTGACAGACAACAAGTCAGCACAAACACTAACACTTCAGCAGCTCCAGTCCTTCTTACACTCTCGTCATGCTTCCAGGTGACAGCCGTGACCTCTGGCTACTCCAGCCCTGCATAAATTCGGCCAGACACCTGCCAGACCAAGCTCTGCCTGCTTTTCCCTGCCTTGACTTTCTGTCCTCTACCTACCTACCATTTCCAAGCAGCCAGAGCCAGCACAGCATTGCCACAGCTTCTGTTTTTTCTACCTGGTTGTTCTTGCTGATTTTCTATTATTACACCCGAGGGAAGAAGTATTCACCCACTATTTCCAGCAGTTCCAGTTGAGCTTCCAGTGGAATAACTCTCCTTACCCTACCATCATTTTTACTCAGAGGAAGATGACCTATTCACACATTTTGATGCTTCAACACCTCTTCACTTTCCACTCACTTTCTGTTTGTCTGAATAAAAGGACCAAAGGCTGCCGGGCTTGCTGCAGTGACAGCTGCCACCAGGAACAGGGTTGTATTTAGAGGGCAAGTATCCCAAATCCAGGGTGCAGGATTACAACCAGAGACCCACCAGGAACAGGTATCCCAAATCCAGGGTGTGGGATTACAACCTGAGACCCACCAGGAACGGGGTTGTATTTACAGGGCAGGTATCCCAAATCCAGGGTGTGGGATGACAACCCAAGACCCCCAAGTGGTCCCGGGTACTTATTGTGCCTTTGGGGTTACTGCCGAATGCTCCCCACCCTGCCTGCCCCTGCCTGGGTGCCGGTGGGTGCTGCGGGGCCCGGGGGAGGTGGGCACTAGGTGTCAGCACGGAACCGCCACACCAGCCACTGCGCCCTCGGGGGAGGCTGCCGACCCCCCCCAGTCCTGACAAAAAACCTAAAACCAGAGCGTACTGGTCTCTCTTAAACCTCCTTCCTTCCGATCTTTTCAAGCTGCTTTGTTTCGTTCTACTTTTCATATCCAAATCTGGCTGATGGGGATGGAGACGCATTTCTCGTGGTTGCCGCCTCCTCTTCTCTGATGGAAAAAAAAAAAAAATCCATTTGTGAACGGGTCCCTCAGTCAAAAGCGCTGTTATCTGGCAAAACAACTAAAGTTTTTAAATGAACGTGGCAGTCTTTGCAACTAACTTCCTTATACACTCCAGTAATGGTTCCACCCCAAACACTGAGGTCTTTTATCTACATACAATAGGTAACATGTAGCTTCTGAGTAAAGGTTTGTGCTTCATAGCTCAACCCTATCTCACTCCAGTCCTCTAGACATTCAGACAATAGGCACTGACATTGTGAGATGCATTGCTTGATTCAGGTGCATGGCATTAAAACTGAAGAAAATATGTAATTATTTCAATTCGTTTCTCCCTCTCTTCACATCAAAACTGGTAACAGGTGCTACAAGCTCCTTTTTTTTTTTTTTTTTTCTCCCCAGAAGGATGAGAACAGTCTCCAAGCTGCAGTTGAACCTGGGATTTGTAGTTCCAAAATAGCCCCCACAGCAAATGAGGGTCAGTGCAGCCCTGGCAACCTGTGCTGCTCATGGTTCTGTCCCCGTACGCAGTTAAGCAGCAAGTGTTTCTCTTTGTAGGCATTTTTGCCTTGCCAAGCTAACAGAAACCCCTGGAATTTATGGCAGCAGACGTGGGGAATGCAGTAATCAAATAATTGACTCTGCCTATTATTTATAAAATGTTTATGACTTGAAAGAGTCTTAATAAAGGTATGGGTCCCGCCTTGAGGAACTTACACTTATAATAACTATTATAACTGCAGTGATAATAGTCTACTATTAATTATTAAATATTCACACCAAGTTTTGAATACGTAAAACAGTAGAAGAAAAAAAAAATCCCACTTTAAACTTGGCAAATACTCTACAGCATCTGATAAATCTATTTCCTATTGCATGTGTCCATTTTTCCCCCAAGCACTTGGAAGAGATTTTATTTTCTGCTACGTTCATCCATATGAGTCATTCACTTCTGCTATTTTTTTTGTCTTCCTTTTCTGTTATTCTAGTCCAACATGTCAAAATCCAAATCAGATGTTCCTGTTTCTCAGTTTTCAGTGAGAAAGCAGGTTGAATATTTGCAAAGGTGCATATTCACAGCTGAAATGTGAGGGAGAAGTCCAAAACAAATTCTTCTGTGTGCATTTATTGGTAGCACACTAAACCTGATTTGATTTCAGGTTTATACAGGTTCCAAATTATTTCTCTCAGCTGTGCATTTTGTATTTACATATAAAGCAGCAAATCTTCTGCTCACTTCTATTGTAGCTGGTATACCTCCCAAGCTGCCCTTCAGTGTTGAAATAACCCTTAAAGAACTCATTTATTTATTAAATCACTAGACATCCTGTGTGAAAAAATGTTTACATCTATTTTTCAGCCCACTGCTTCTCCTGGCATTAGCCTTGTTAGATGCATATGACATATTTAGAAAGCCGGCAATACTTGTGTCTTTACAACCAGAATTCCTGAAACATTATAACACTGCTAGTCCTTCTCATTGCAAGATCTCAACAGATTACAAAGAAGGTAAATCATTTCTAGCAGGGGACAATCCTGTTTTTAACAATCCCTGCACATCTTTCTCATGGGAATGATTTATGCCAGTGGTAATATTCTAGTACCTCCCTTCATTTGTCTATTGTCACTTGGAATGTGGGACTGATTCCATAGATGAGCAGAAGTCACGCTGTGCTCACCTGTATTTGAAAGTCACCATGAATATATACAGTGATCTGTCCCAGGAGTAGTTAAGTGGCACAATTCTCATAAAATAATTAAGTGACTAAAACCAGTAATCGGTCTTCATGGTCTAATAAGCCTGATAAGGGTAGAAAAAAAAAAAAAAAAAAAAAAAGAAGAGACGTTCAGACACTGGAGGTGAAATAAGAGATCAGTGAAAAGTATGATGGTCAAGCCTTGCACACGCTGGCGGCCAGGCTCAGAGAGCAGCTGGTGTTATGTGCTCCACTACTCCAAAACACAACCTTCCAGATTTACATTCACAGAGCAGGGGGAACAGCCTCGTTCCAGAAAGCAGCTCCACAACCACGGGTGAGGGTGCATGTGTCACTGCAGATCTCGCCACTCTTGGCTCTGATGTGGAGAAGGAGGAAAGACAAGCTCGTCATTTCAAGTTAGCTCACTACATAAAGGGAGGTGATAGGAGGAGGACAAGCTAAATACACTTTGTGGAGAACCTGGTAAAAACAAAACACATTCTGGGAAAAGCCTCATGTCACCTTAACACTCAAACTATTTACTACAGCAAATAACCTACCAGGTACCTCTGTACCAACTGGTTGCATCCTGCTCGCATCTGTATGTCACTACACAGGACTCATCCCATCCTTTCTAAGCAGACACTTGAGAGGCTGGGATGAGGCACGTGTTGTGTTTGAAGAAAGCCTAGTATGCCCTTATATTATCTTCCTACCAAAACTCAGTACTGTGAAGCAGTCTCAGAAGCCTAGAAGAAAAAGAGACTGTGACCTCTTTCTGTTGCAATTAAAGATTAGGCTCGTCTATCTATCATCTTAGTGCAGGAACATGGGACAAAGCATCCTGGTTATCCTTCTCCATGCAGCTCTCACCTTTGCCAGTGGCTGCCTTGGATTCTCCTTGAGATTTCTCCGTGGGCCAGTCACCACGAGGATTCCCCACAGCGATGATTTCTCACACACTACAGACCATCATGTGGAGGGGTTTGCTTCCGAGCTTAGCACGCAATTACTGGTACCCACAACTGAGAAGGACAGAGAGTCCCTTCAGAGCTGGACAGAGTCACCAAGCATCAAACTTCTGTTTTCTGGCACATGGAAGGGAGGAGCAAAATAAGCCTCTGAAAAAAAATGGAATTAGACAGGGCCTCTGCCTTGGTAACCTCTCTGTACCACAGGTGCCTCCTCCGTCATCCTCACCTAAATCAAAATGACCTGATCAGCAAGCCATGCCCGCAGCTGTCAAGACCTTGCACGCCTTTGTCTCCCATTGCAACATGTAAATGGTTCGTGGTTCCCTGTCTAGGGTGGGGAGGAGCGTCCACTTCTCCAGTTTCCCCTGGGAAAGACACTAGAAAAGTCTCCAGAAAATATTTGGGTCCCCTAGCCAATTCTTTATTTGCTCTGGGGACAACAAGCGCTACGGTGAGAGGCAGTCTGAAGCATCAGCCCAACCACCGCCTTTCCTCGTTAACTTCAGAAGGGGAAAGGAGGAAGTTTGCAGGAGCTCCTCACTATCCCCTTCTACGAACTAAGCCAGCTCTCGCATCTCCCAAGAGTTCAGACCTTGTCAAGCCAGAAACCGGACTACAAAGTGACGATGCCCTGCCAGCACCCAGGGGCAGCTCCAACCGAGCAGAGGCGACAGATACCCTTGACAGCTACTCCTCGGCTGACCACGAACCGGACAACAGCACACAGAAAGTTCGGGGGGAAGGCAACAGCGATCCGTTCCCACCCGCGCTCGCGTTCCACGGCCGCTCCGTCCCGCCTCTCCTCGGGGAGCGCCTCCTTTCACCCTCCCCTCCCCGGTGCCCACTGAGGGGGTGCCCCCGCCGGGCCCCTCCTGGCTCCCCGAAAAGGCGGGGAGCCCGCCCCTCAGGGGAAGCGCCGCCGTTCCCGCCCGCCGCCGTTCCCGCCCGCCGCCTCAGGCGCTGCCCGCCGCCGTTCCCGCCCGCCGCCGCCGCCGCGGCCCCTCCGATTGGGCGGCGGGGGAATCCCAGCGGGCCCCTCTCCGCGATATAAGGGGCGGCGGGGCCGGCGCCCGCCTCACTGCCCGCCCCCAGCGCGGAGCGGAGCGGCGGAGCCGCCTCCTCTTCACCCTCCTCCTCCTCCTTCCCCCCTCAGCGCTGAGGCGGCGGAGCGCGGCTTCCCGCCCCGAACTCCCCTCCTCGCTGCCGAGGCGATGGCCGAGCTCAAGTCGCTGGGCGGCGAGGCGTACCTGGCGCTGCCCCCGGGCTACGGCCCGTCGGCTTTTGCCTACGGGGCCGTGCGCGGCGGTGCCGAGGGCCCGCGGGGGGCTTACCCGGGGGGCGGCGGGGCGGACTTCCACCCCGGGGCGCTGGGCAAGTCGGCGGAGAGTAGCGGCGAGCAGAGCGGCGACGAGGAGGACGGCTTCGAGGCCGGGGCGAAGGGCGGCGCGGCCTTCGAGCGGGAGGGCAAGCTGAAGGGGGGAGCGCTGGGCAAGAAGCCCAAGGAGCAGCGCTCGCTGCGCCTCAGCATCAACGCGCGGGAGCGGCGGAGGATGCACGACCTGAACGACGCCCTGGACGGGCTGCGCTCCGTCATCCCCTACGCCCACAGCCCCTCGGTGCGGAAACTCTCCAAAATCGCCACCCTGCTCCTGGCCAAGAACTACATCCTCATGCAGGCGCAGGCCCTGGAGGAGATGCGGCGGCTGGTGGCCTACCTGAACCAGGGCCAGGCGCTGAGCACCCCGCTGCCCGCCACCCTCAACCCCTTCGGACAGTCGGCCGTCTACCCCTTCGGCGGCGCGGCCTTGCCCGGCTGCCCCGAGAAATGCACTGCCTTCACAGGAGCCACCTCCGCCCTCTGCAAACACTGTAATGACAAGCCTTGACTGCTGGCTTCTTCGGGCTTTTTGGGTTTCTTTTTTTTTTTTTTTTTTTAATTATTATTTTTTTTATTTTTTTTCTCTGTGCACTTTTCTTTCCACTACCATCAGCCCTGGCTTCCTACCACCAGTTAAGTCCGGGTTTTCTTTTCGCTTGCTTCTCTTAAATACCCCCCATCCCCTCCCTTTACCCCATTTGGGAATATCTGGCAGCTTACGTGGACCCCCAAAACACCCACTTTCAACTTTGTTTAGTCACCCCCCACATGCAGCTTCATCTGTAGAGTTATTTCCTTCCCAGCCTGTTAGTGGACTATAAGCAAAATGTTGCTTTGCCACCTGCTCTGGTCTACAGAGTGTTTGAGCAGTTTTTAAACTAAAGTATAGAAAAACAGGGAGGGAGAGAGAGATGGAAATGGAAACCTCAGTGAGTTTTCTTTGGAGTAACTGACCTGTGTTAAAAATAGCTTAAAGGGGAGGGGAGAAGCAAAATCCAGCTGCAAAACTATGCAATGTTTCAGAATCGTGGCGGAGGGGTTTCCTATGTAGCTAGCAAAGGTTGGACTGTATCTGTAAATCCCAGTAAAAATGTCATTCAGTCAGCTCATGGGAGGGGGGAGGTTCGGTGCTCTTGATAAAACAATAGAAGCTTCAAAATAAGATGCATTTTTTGCTCTTAAAGAAAAAAAAAAAAAAAAGAAAAAACTAACCCGTTCTTGGACTGAGAGGAACCTGTGATTGTATGCTAATGCTTGCTTTTTGCCTGTTTCTCAGATTAAGTTTTCCAGATGATTTTCCAAAGTCATTGATCATCAAGATAAACAAAGCAAAAGGTCACTTAACATATTTATATGTATTTATAATAAATAAAAGACATGAATAACCATTTTCTCTGTCCTACATGTCTCTAAAACCAGCTGGCAGTCAAAGCAAAACCCCTGCTGAAGGTAAAGTGGAGACGGACGCAGCCGTCCTCTGCGGAGGAGCAGCTTTGTGAAGTTAGGAGAATGATCGGAATACCTGGAAAAAGCTTGTGGACATTCAGCTCCTTATCAGCAGGGATTTGTTTTTTCTCCAGTTTCTCATGAATCGCAAGCACGCAAAAAAAAGATATTGTTTACGCCTGACATTTAGATTTAAGTAGGTAGAGATTTAGCATGTGTATTTTGACACTTGCTGGAGAACGCTGTGCCCTGGAAGTGGTGGGTTTTTAAAAGGGGTTACTGTAGCATCGAGCTTAGCTCTGAGAACACCCATGTGAAACACGGCAGGGAAGGAAATCGCTTAAGACTCTGCTTATCCCTTTGGCTTGGTTTTCTGTTATAGCTACAGCTTGACCCTAGACATGCGTGTGGGGTTTGGGCCACTTATTATCGTGACTAAACTAATCATCCCTTGCCAAGTATTGACTGTTAGTACAAGTTACAAAGTGAGTCCCTCGCTGGCTGATTTTTTGGTGTTGCTTGTGTTGGTTTACTTTGGTTTTCTGGTTTATGATGTTTAACGCTTTGGTGCCTTGTATGCTTCACTAGTCATTTTATAATAATAATAATAATAATTGAGGTGCGTTTAGTGATTTCTATTCAGATTGGAATACCCACCCAATGTCAGAGCAACCGCATAAACTGGTACAGTTGAAGCCTGAGGGGCTAGAGCTGTCCACAGCCATTTGTGTTAGGAGTGGGGTGTAACTATTTAGGGTTATTAAACCAATTTCCATGCCTGTCGCTAGTGTTATGCTAATTTGAAAAGGACTGCCATCCCTCTAAAGCCGCTTGTCTATGGCACTTAATTTTAATTAATACATTTCCAAAAGACTTTTTGTGTTTGGAAAGCGAAGTGTGTGATTAAGCCTCATTCATAAAGACATATGTTTAAAACTGGTTCCTGCTCATTTCCATTTTTATATCTTAATTTCTTTTTTTTTTTTACAGAATAGTTTCACAGAACAGTTTAGCTGTTATACCTTTTTCCATAAAAGAAAATCTTGAAAATACTCTTAAAAGGCATCTGATGAAGTGAAAGCCGACCAAAACCACTACTGAAGCAAAAATGACTGGAAATGGCAAATCAGCAAAGGTCATTTAAAATTTTGCAGACCAAGTTGTTGCTAGATAATATTTTGAAAAAAAGGTCAGTTTAATGGAGAATTGTGATCTTTAGGTAAATGTTTATTGTGGTTAAAACTATAGAAGATTGAGAAGTTGGGAATATTTAAATGGAGATTAGTTTAACTGTTCATTTTTCACCAAAACTAAAATAGTTGGAGAATAAAGTATTTAACAGCTTAATAGTAAATATGAGTTTGGTTTGGTTAAAGACTATTAATAATGGCATTTATAATTGCTTCTTTCTCAAATAATTATGGCAAAAAAAAAAGTGGCTCACTAATTTCAGAGCCTTAAAAGTCTTCACAGTCTTAGAGACAAGCTATTTTTGGAACAATGGTTTTAAGTACAGTGATTAAGTCTTTTTCTATAATTTACATGAGTAAAAAGCTTGCTCATATTACTGTATCTACATAGAATTCTGAAAATCCACCTTCTGAGAGTCCTTGAAATATTCAGAAGGCTCTTTGAGAGCCCACTTTGAATTAAACGATCTCAGGAGGCTAAACGTGGAATTTCAAATACAGAAGATAACTTGCATTAAAGAAAATTTTGATAGGAAAAGTAGCAAGCTTGAGTATCTAAGTACTGTTAAAAGGCTAGGTATTGAAACCACAAATGTAGAATTTATCAAAGCAATACTAGAGCAACTTGTAAATCATTGCTGAAATCGACCTTAAAGTACAGGATTTTTAATTCAAAAGTAAAACGAAGTCCAATCATAACTTTTCCTGCAACCAACAAATTAACGTTAAATTGAAACAAAGTTGACTAAGTTCTCGGTTAATCTGAAAGTTCAGTCCTGTGGGTTGTTTCTAGCCGCCATGGACTTGTAGGATTTTAACTCTTCTCAGAGTTGAAACCCATACTGAGCCCTTCATGTTTCCTGTTGACAGGAAGGCATCTATTTCGATGTGATTTACGCTTTGTGCTGAGCTGCTGCTAAAACCACTGCCGAGTGGATGCCTATTACCGCTGGAAAGATGATTTTGTTGGGAGCATCTGATCATTGCATTTGTGTGTGTGTGTGTGTGAAGCATCAGTGCTAACCTTGCAAATGTGCATGGTTATCCTGGAGATGAGATCCTGTAACTTGTCATTTGTTTTTCCCCTTTTCTGGTATATGAAAAAAAAAAAAGCAAACTTACTTTGTGTACCATGTAAGGTTTTAAGTGTCTGCTTCTGGTTGGTGTTTCAGAGAATATAAAGGGAGGACTTAAAAATGCTGAAGATCTTTTTTTCTGCTCAAATGTTCTTGTTATGATGCCTGCTTTTTTCCCCCAAGAAGGATTTATGGTGTATGCTCAGATGGAACTGAAATACAGATCATGTATTCTAATGTACTCATTATCCTGCTATGTTCATACTTTGAAGAAAACATAATGCCAACTTTTAATTAAAGATAATATATTGTTTTCTAACCTCACTTAGTTTTTCTTTGAACTTCAAGAACGATCAGCATGAGGTGTCATTAGGAAGTGATGCAGAGAGATGCTGCTCCACTGTCTGTTGCTTTTTTGGCTGTGTAATTCTAGTCACTAACCAAAACTAAGGTTTTACTAACCAATATATAACACCTTGCTAACGGAGTTGGAAAGTGCTGTCAGCTTGCGCTGCATCAGTCAAGATTTAACATTAGCGGTCTTGAGCTTGCCAGGTAAAATCTTGTTTAACCAAATACAGGGAAGCAACAGGTTTGAAGATGGAGGGGCCAGAGGGCAGCTGTGTACTTCAGATACCGGCAAAAAGTTAAATCAGTTGGAGCTCCTAGAAAGAAACCACGAGAATCAGTTTTCCTTGTTCCTTAATCCATATAGCTGATCTTACTGTTACAATATCTGAATATTGCTGCATTGCCAAGCTTGTTTCCGAGACTTTAGAAGGTGACTGGTCACTGTTCTCAGATCATTTTGCGGGATTGTTCTTTACATACCCAGCTCTATAATTTCAATTTTAAAATAGCAGTGGATGTTTTGCAAGGGTGAAATGAATGTAGAGTCCAATCTTGCTGCTGTTTGACTAAAGGGTGCCATTTCTGGTGTAATTGACAGCGAGATGGGGCCTGATGCTCCAGCACACAGCGGTGGTTTCTGAACCCAACACAACGCTGCCTTCTGTAAGAGGCTCCAGAGGACCAGAAAAATCTGAACAAGCTTTATCCCTTTACTGTATTAGCCTTGTAGCATAACTAAAGTGTAGGGCACGGCGGATAAAGACCTCACTTAAAAGCTTTCACGGTTCTTCAGACCAAACCTGCTTATTGCCAGCTCAGCAGCGAGAGTCGCGGTGCGTGTCCTGCAAGGTTGAGTTTGCACGTACGGCAGGTTTCCACACGCGGATTATTTAGTTTACAAGTGAGGAGAACAAAACCAAGCGTTCCATATTGCACTTTTCCCTCCTGCTTCCATAGCATGTGTTCAAACAAGTGTGTTTCTGGGATGCGCTCCTGAAAATAAGAGGTTGGACTTTGCAGCATTACTGAAATTTATTTTTACCTATGCTTGTTGCCTGCCGTGTGAATTACCAGCAATCAGTGCTCTGATCTCAAATAAGTGAAAATACTTTTAAAGAATACTAGAATACACCAACCAGTAGTTTAATTTTCAAAACTGCTTTTACTCTACCTGTCATTTGATAAAATTTTGATTAGGATTGCACAGTAGAAAATTTGGGGGTTTTTGTTTTCACTAATCCTGATTAAGGCTAGAAAAGACTCTTTATTACAGTAATTTTAATAATGTAAATTTTTTTATGATATGTCTTTAGTCTTTAATCCCCTTTGGCATTCCATTCAAAGGGAGATGAAAAATTCAGGGATTTATAACATTTAAATCAGTCATTCCATGAATGCTTCTCAGACATTTTTTTCTCCTACCTGAAATAAAAAAAATACCTAATGGTTATAGAACAAAATGTTTTGCTATCAAATTAGAACTATGTTTTCATGGTTTTTTTTTTTTTTTGTAGAAAAATAGCTTAATATGCTCTTTACAGTAAAGCATATGTGTATAAGATAAAATAGAAACAATTATCAAAACAATATATTTGAGACATCTTTGCCATTCTTTCAGGTGTTTTGAAGTATGATTTTCAACATGAACTTTAAATATTTTTGTAGTCAAAATTCACATTAATTTCTACCTGTTACCTCATTCTTATTTCTATTTGTGCTTATAAATACATACAGTTTTAAAATGATCCAGTTAATTTTTAAAAACATTCTTAGCTTCATTTAATAATAGTAAAATTTTAGTTAATGTTTATTCCTGAAATGCTAAACAGTTTTGAGCATAATGCTCAAAATTTCTTCAAGGCCAAATAGATCAATCTTAAGTATTAGTGTTAAATTAATTCGTAGATACATTTAGCCACACTGTTTCAGACAAAAAAAAATGGGGTTTCATTTTTTTTCTATACTTAAGGTAGTGAAATTTGAGGAATGAAGACTCGTAGAAGACAAACCACAAGTACATAACGTCTTACACAACATAGGAGAGCATGCTGGTCTTCAAACTCCCTGCCCTAGTGAAACAGTTAAAATATATTTTTATTATTATTATTTAGGAGCTTATTTTCATTTTTACATACTTCATTTCATCAGTAATTTATGTTCTTTAAAATCTGGTTCATTAATGCCATTTGTAATTGCTTTATTTCCCCACGCTAACACTAATGCTTTGTGTGTTTCTGTATATTGATACGGAATTGTACTATGAATATAACCCAACCTTCCTCAGCTACCAGTGGGAAAAAACTATCTGCTCTTTTGCCTTAAGTCTTTCAAAGGGAAAAACATGGCTGAGGAAAAAACATCACCCCAGTTTTTCCTCCAAGCCCACTTTTGTCTAAAGTAATGAGGCCATAGTCAGTTGGCTCCAAAAAGCGTTGTGATTTAGTGTGACGTACAGTGAATCATTGCAGATCCATTCGGACTGCATTCGTTATTTTAATGAGACGGAGGCAAATCTGTTTTTTGGCCGCAAACCTTAAGAAGCAAGCATAATGCGAAATGTTTGTTGATTGCCACAAGGCAACTGACATTATAGATTTTTATCGCCATCATTACGTGGCTTAAAACTCGCCACATCCCAAGATATTTTGCCCCTTCCCTTTCCTCCTGCAAATGACAGGGAAGTTACAATGCCAGCATTTAAAAGCAAAAAGCTCATTTATTTAATTTCTGCACTTATTAAAACCTGGGGTTGCATCCTAGGGTCTGCACTCTTTTTGTGGATTTTTTTTTTTTTTTTTTTTTCATTCACACTTTCCCAGAGGAGTAGGAAAACCCCCACCACAACGCAGTCACCCAAAAAAGGTCACATTCAGTTGGGCGACAGCAGTACTATGTTCCCCACCAGCCCTTGCTTGATGTAGTATAAGAAATGACAATGAGGCGGGCATATCTTTGCCCAAACAGTAATCACAGTAATAGTGTTCATCAGAATTTACTAGTGCTGAACTTTTCTGCAGTCTGTAGTAACGTTCCCTCTTCCATGATACCAGTAAGGAATTTATTGTGCTTGTATTTGCCTTCAAGAAAACAGCAGTCAATTGATTATTGAAGAAAAAAACCTCAAAAATATGTTACACTGATAAATGTGGTTGTCTCTGCAGGCGTGTTTAGTTGTGTAAAAATGCCCACCCACATGCATGGTGTGTTGAAGCATATTTATAATGTCTTCACGTATATTGCACCTGTGATGCATGAATTAATATTTCTATCTTTTTTTTTTTTACCCAGTGTGTCTTTTTTCCATCAATTGTCAGTGGGTTTACTGAAATGTTTTTCTTATGTTTTCATGAAACTTTATACAACATCATTTGACTGTAGCACAGAAAGTGTTGTTGCATAAAAACCACCGGTCTCCTGAAAAATTGCTTTGACCTGTTCATCCTGACAAACCCATGAATAATATTTTTCATCATTTTATTTTACCCTTAAAAAAGAAAGTGATGTCTTGGGACAGGACAGGGTGTTAGTTTTCCATTCTGCCATCGGCAGCTTTGCAGTAAGACCGATGGTGAACCACCTTTGCTTGTACTTGTTTCCAAATGCATGCATCCTATTTTTATTGATTTGCTAAAAGTAAATGTCATGCATTGCACTCTTCACACAGATGTCATGAAGAAATCCTTACGCCTCCCATTTGTGAATTCTATTACCTTAAGTATTTTTTATCTCCTGGCAGCTTCAGTGTAAAGCAAACTACGCAGCTGACAGCCATAGTGGGTGCTCTCAGTGTTTACAGCAGAATTGAGGCTGTAGGGGGAAAAGATGAAAATCTCTGGCAAAATGTTAAAATGGCTGCTGACTTGGAGGCCTCTGGCTTAGTTTTACATCCTTTCCGATGTCCAGGAAAATACAATTTTACTTCTAAAAAATTTTCTCCCCTTGGCTTTTTCCCTCTCTTGCCTCAATCAGTTTCCTGGATGATTTGAGGACAGAAAACACTTTAGTTACGGGAGCTCTATTACTCCTAACGGTCCTTTTTGGAATTGAATGTGGCACTGGATAGAATAATCTTGGTGCTGGGAGATTGCACAACATAGGCAAGCTTACTCCTGTATGACCTGACTCTGCTCCCAGGTGCTTTCTTGTAGCAGTTCACAAATACCCTTTATAGTGGGGGTAAGCACTGCAGCAGAGCACCTTTTCTCAAATGTTTGTGTCCTTTGTAGATGTTTGGGGTCCATATTATATTTTATGTCATCAAACGCAAAATCAAAATCCCTTATCAGGCAAGAGACTTTTCCGTTCCTTTTTGGGGTCCTATGGGTGCTTGTTAGGACCAGACTGCTTGTTGAAGTCCTCATTCTTGCAAATTATCTCCCCTGTAAGTGCTGCTGCCCCTGGTGGGATTCTGATCCAGCCTGCAAACAGAATAGTTTTTATATAAATATGTGAGAAATTAGTTCTTGGCCACATTGAGCGTGCATGTGTGTAGATATTTACTTGGCTTTGTTTTTAGAGTTAAACCAAGTTTGGAAGAAGCATCTGATCATTTTAGTGGAATTCTGTTGCTTTTGACTTCCTTCTCCCGTTGCCTTGCCCTGAGGCACAGAAAAGATCAAGGCATTTGCCCATGGACACACACTGACTTGAGTGAGTGGCTCTACCATATTTGAATTCAGATGATCTTATCTTGCTGCT